GATTGAGACAGCTCTGGTTGCCTTAATGGATGACCTATACTGGGAACTGTATGCCCCTCCTGGTTCTGCTGGACCCAACAGGAGCATCAACCACGGCATCTTTAGTATCCTTCTTGGTTGCCTCGCTGAGACAGGATTTGGAAGAAATGTTTACAGTGGGTTTGCTCCTTCTTGCAGGTGCAAACCCAGAACATGGTACCCAGAGTCTACTCTGCCCTTTAGCACCCCTCAGGGCTTTGTTTTGTCCTCCATATTATTAAACATTTATTAGGAAATTGCTGGAAGACATTGCCCAGAGTTTTGGGGATTGGTGCCACTAGTATGCTGATCTCTATTCTCTTTTCAGTCTAACTCAGAGGAATTGTCTTGGCTCCAAATCAGTGTCAGATATGTGTAATGCACTGGATGAGGATGAGCAAAAGTTTAATCCTGGTAAGACATGTGTAATAAGGCAGATCAGAGATTAAACTGTGTTAAGACTCCCCCCAAATCCAGGTTTGTAGTTTGAGAGTACTCACAGATTCATCCCTGAATCTGCACAAACTATGCTCCTCACTGTCTTTCTACCAGTAGGTGAAAGATTTCCTATTTCAACTGGCTTTTGATTTGTGAATGCCCTGGCAGGATGGGAGTTTTTACTGGGGGATGCAACATATTTTGTTTTTATTTAATACTAATATTCTAATTTATCATGATTTTAAATACACTTAAGCTATTGCACACTGCCTTTGAGTGCTTTCACCGGGAGAAAGCTAGGATATAAAGAAAAAAATAAGTAAATGAACTGCTGGAATGGTCAGTGGTTTAGGTCTCTGGCTATGGAAAGCTATCTATCCATCCATCCATAGATAGATTTATCTATCAATGGAGCCAGAGGTTCCACTGTGCAAGTCTTGACAAGGGCTGAACTTGATGATCCACAGGGTCCCTTCCACCTCTTCAGTTCTAAGGTGATGATAAAATAAACAGATAAATGAATAAATAACTTGAGGCAATTTATCTCCAAAAATATGCTTTGTGCATAACAGCACAAGGGGATTTCAGCCATTGCATTTTCTATGAAGGCAGAAACCCACTATTCTAAAGGGTCTCCAAAGCATTCACTCAGTTTAAATCTATACTGTACTGTATATCTACCTATTGATATATTTGTGGTCAAACATTAAGATGTTAACTAAAGAGAAAAAAGAAATCTCTTCAACTTCTCCAAAGCCTATAAACTGGAAAATATATTCATTCATTCATTTAATTTGTTTTATTTATAGGCTGCCCTTCTCCTGATAAGGGGCTCAAGGCACCTATAAGGGAATCGTGGTAAAGAAGCACACAGAAGGTACACTGAAGACATGGCATCACAACAATCTTATCAGTTACAAAGTTTTTCATCTTAGTTCTGCCATTCTCTTGTACAATAATTGTTTTAATTATTTGCAACAAGGACCTTGTTATTATTTTCCCATTCAAACAGAACTATGTTTCCCAACTTGAGGGTCTTCTTTCTCCCCCAAGGGTCTGTTTCTCATACACACACATACACACTAACTCTGAAAGGTTAAGGAATAAATTATTTAACACATATAAGGTGACTCGTGACCCCACAGAAAACACTTTACAACACCTTGGGGGTCCTGACTCCAGGGTGGGAAACACTGCAGTAGAGCAACCAACAAACTCCAGTGGCAACCAACAAACTCTTTCTTCCCTTCGATCTGTCCTCTCAAAACTGCTGAAGCCACCTAACTTCTCTCTCAAGGGAGTATTTCTGTCTTTCTCTCTGGTCTAAGGTGCTGGAATTACTGAAAACTCAGGTAAGTATTAATGGCTAATATTCTTAGGAGCTCATGCTCTGATTCTGCCTGGCAGAAGAAGTACAAGAGACTTATGGTGGATCCAAATTTAGGTAAGTGTAGCAAAAACAGAGGTTAAACACAGTACTACACATGGCACAGAAGTGTATTTCCTCACACCTTCATTTCTGTGGCAGTCTGTTCAGCCTGCTGAAAATGAAATTCAGAGGGTCAAGCAATCCTGCACTATTAGGGGTGATTTATAAAATAAGATAGACACCAAAGCAGTATCTTAGGGGAAGGATGGCCTCAAGAAAAGATTCTTATAATAATGGGTTTAAATATTTAAACTTGGTTTTATAGCCAGACACAATCTTCAGTAATCAGTGGTCCATGCATGCCACAGAACTAGGAATCTCTTAGACTGGATCAAGCAGATGCAGTTTGATATTTAGAGCCAACATTTCCCTCCTTCATAAGGAAAGGCTCCACTCAGAGAAAATGTCTCTAATTTTTGTGAAATGTCCCTTATGGCCCCCCTGGAGGGTTCTGGCACAGTTGAAGGGAGCCACCCTGAGGAAACATTTCTTCACATAATACCTTATAAGGTTTGTTATGCGACGTATACAATCCTGAATCAGACTATATTTCTTTCATATTGTATTTATAGCTGTGGCCAAAAAAAAAGGTTGAGAATGGCTGCTTAGACACAATAATAAAAATAGCAATTGTTTTATTGACTAAAGATGTGATATAGCTCAGTGGGTTGAAACACCTGGCTGCAAACCCAGGGGCTCTACATCTGAATCCCTGGTGTTCATCCCAAAAGAGCAACGTGGATTAAAAAATCAATGATTTCTATAAAAATCTAATTGATTTAAATCATGATTTTAATTAGTAAAAACATTTTTTCATATCATTAAAAATATTTTTTTTAAAAAAAATCAAATGCACCCTGCAAAAGAGGGCATCAAGATTGTCACTTGGGGGGGGGGATTCTTGAAACTCTGATTTATGATATCTTCCTCCTGTGAGGAATTTTAAACTCAAAGTTCCATCAAACGTATTCTTTAGTATCATTTACGGAGTAATCTGCAAGCGCACTGATGATGCTATATAAACAACAAAATGAAGAAATGACACTATAAATAAAATCTGCAAATGTCAATATCCAAATAAAACTTATTGTTGGCCTACAATTCAGCACACATATTTAAAGCAGTATAGTTTATTACCCTGTTTCCCTGAAAATAAGCCCTATTTTGAAAGTAAGCCCTAGTATGATTTTTCAGGATATTCATAATATAAGCCCTACCCCAAAAATAAAAGCCCCAGTTAAGCGAAGGTCCACTCTCCACCATTGTGCAGCAACCAGAAGATGGCATGACTGTATTTGAATAAATGTAGATTGTTGTACATGAAAAAAAAATGAAACATCCTCTGAAAATAAGCCCTAATGCAGTTTTTGGAGCAAAAATTAATATTAGGCCCTGTCTTATTTTCGGGGAAACACGGTACTATTTTCACTATGTTAGGCAAAACACTGCTCATGCTAAGCCAGGCACAGTATTCATTCATTTAAAATTTCTGGGTCTTCATAACATTCCATAAAGACATAGCAACAGGCATTCTCAGTGGACTAATATTGGATTTTCGTGTAAAGCTGATCACTAACGCCACTTGGTAACATTTGCTATATGAGGAAAACGATGAATGAGTAGTATATACATGACCCATCAAAGTTTATATTATTATAGTGAGTGCTTGTTACTTTCTCCATAACCAAAATAATTGGCCAGAAGCCAATGAAAAATCATCCCCAAATTCCTATCAAAGTACATCCAATACAAACATCAATCATTGATTTATCATTGTTAAACCTTTAGTAAACAAATACACATCCAAAAACTGTCCCTGTATAAACACAATACAGCCATGTGGTAACCTTATTCAGTACCATACAGCACCTACAACACAGAAATAATCTCTTAGAAAGGGATGTCTGTACCTACGGATTTGAAGACTTTCCAGTCCAAACATCCTTCCCCAGTCTCAACCAATATATAAAGCAAATTAACGGAAGATCAATAGCAGATATTTCTAATATGTTAGTGGAGAAGAGTAGCAGTCACAGATAAGGAGCTCAACAATATACTTCCTGAAGAAGTAATAAGCCTCCATGTCCAAACAAATTCTGGTTGACTCAATTTAATACATCCCAACTGGAAATACTTGAGTATAACTTCTTTAGCTCCTTGGATGACCTTGGGGCAATCATACTGTCTCAGCCTAGCCTAACTCACAGGGATCAGAGCTTCCTCTGAAAAGCAGTTTTGAGAAGACAAGCATGCCATGGATGTTGCCCAACGTTTTCTAGAAGGAAGAATGAATAAAAATGCATGTACAAAAAAATAAAGACATCTTCACAATGAGGTAAACAGCCCCATGGTTCACAACACTAAACTCCTCATTTCTCTGTTTACTTCAGTATAGTAATAAACCCACAGGCTCCTAGATGGTGTACAGAGCGTTGCAGATCTGTTGAATGTCTAACCTCCAGCGCCAAATTCCAAGCTGCCAGGGCTGCCTGCCTGGCACCTGAGAAGATGCTGGCAACTGTAACAGGAGAGCTCCTCAGGTAATATCACCATGGAAAAGATCCGGTAACACAGTCGTGTCCTTTCCCTAACATCCACATACACAGAGAGGCAAAACACCGGAGAGGTTCGAGAATCGAGAGCCGAGCCTCTTTGGCTGGGACTCCGTGAAGCCTTCTGCACACGTTCAGAGGCACTCTCCCCGGGCCTACAACGAGCCCTCGATGCAGGCTGCACTCCCGCGTTTGCCCCAATCTCACGAGCGGGTCAGGTGTTGAAGTGTGCCACGAGCAAACCCAGCAGGGAGAGCCCACCCACCCCCCTCCCTCGGTGTCAAGGCAGCGCCTGGCGGCGGCAGCAGCCCCTCTAACGCCAAAACGAACACGTTCAGAGGCACTCTCCCCGGGCCTACAACGAGCCCTCGATGCAGGCTGCACTCCCGCGTTTGCCCCAATCTCACGAGCGGGTCAGGTGTTGAAGTGTGCCACGAGCAAACCCAGCAGGGAGAGCCCACCCACCCCCCTCCCTCGGTGTCAAGGCAGCGCCTGGCGGCGGCAGCAGCCCCTCTAACGCCAAAACGACCCCTCCCCCAGGACNGGCGCGGGGCGTCGGTTACCTGTGAGGCGCGGCGACGAAGGCGGAGGTGAGGCGCAGAAGGACGTCACTCCCCCCTTCCGTCCGTCTCTCGGTGTCCTGCTCCCCGGCGACAGGGCCGCGCCGGGCCGGACCCAAGAGGGGCCCCTGGCGTTGGTCGAACGGAGCGCCGCCGCCGGGGGCTCTGTAGCCGCTCAGCAACCCCGGCAGCGGCCAGGCGCCATTTCCCGCCTACCGACCTGCTGCACCGCACGGAAGGACCCGGATGATGACGGGAGAGAGGAAGGGAGCGAGCGAGCCCAGCTGCCTGGGCCAAGCGGAGCACTGCGCACGCGCCCCGGAAAGGGGCGGGGTTTTCGGAACGGACTCGGCGGCGGCGGCGGCGAGTGAGGCGGGATGGCTTTGGAGCCTCGCTTCACGGGAAGGAAAGCCGCCGGGCGCGCTCGGGATCAGATCGTGGCTTACTTCGGAAAGGCACTCTGCGCGTGGTCGGGGGAGCTCTTCCTTCTCCCGTACCATTCGGAAAGCGGATGTGGGGGCGGTGGGGAGGGGCGCAAGGGAGGCCACCCGTGGTCACGATCACTTTCTGGTGGGGAACCGGGAAGGGCTCCGAAGCCGGGCAGGGGCCACTTTCGTTTTCCCGCAGGACTGGCTTTATCCCGTAGGATGCGGAAGAAGGCCTTTACACCGATTCTAAATTTAGGAAGCCGATCTTCAGGGCCCGAGGCAGGAATCACTCATGGGCGCCGTCTTTCAAGAGAGCAAAAGCTCTCTGCCCCAAACAGCTTCGCTACGGGAAAGAGCAACCTTGTTGCCTTGCAGGTAAATGTTAGGTCGTGGAGTAAATTCTTTGGATTGTCACAGTAAGCACCCCCCAAAAAAAATCCTCTCACGTTTCTTCCCGGCCCCTATGCCTTGAAGGCAAATCAAGGTTTGGGCTTGACCCTAGGAGTCAGACAGCCACGAGGCTTTGCTGACCGACTATAGCCACTGATCCTGTGGTTATCGATTCGAGCATAGTAATTTTTCAGGTGTACGGCAATGTGTTGCAGGCGACCCAAGAGCATCTTCGTATCTGACGTTTTTGAGCTCTGACGTGGGGTGTCTCAAGCACGATGAAAGCGACTAGACATTTAGGAGTGGATTTTGGGTTAAGGCTGCTCACAAGATTTTATGCCACCTAGTGGATCTCCAGGCGGCTCTGAACCGAAATACTCCCACCGTTGGGGTTCCCAAAAGCTTTCCTGGTGTTTTCACATGGGATTAGCTAGAACAGAGGATTCTTACCTATTTATGGTTTAAGCAACAAGTATTTCTAAAAGGACAGAGTGAGAAACTATAGGAGATAGCTAGTATCTAGTGCATAAAGCGAGTGACTAGGATTTGGATGGGTTGGGTTGAAATCCCTGCTCTGTCACAGAAAATAAGTGGAGTCAGGGTAGTGGTAATGGTAACAGTAAACTCCTTAAATATGTCACACTACTTGAAAAGCCTAGTACAGTTGCTATAAGTCAGTTGCAAATTGCACATAATATTAATGGGGAGTACATAATCTGTGAAGTGGAAAAGAGATATGTTAATAGTTATGGTTAACTCCCATGATATATCTCAGTGGATGCATGTAGCATGATGTTCCTACTGGCTATATCCATCTCTTGTTAATACTGGCCAGAGGATTACTGTGATGGTCAGAAGCAAAGAGAACAGGAGAAAGACCCCTTCTGTTTGGACACTTTGATGGACTCATTCATTAAAATCCTTTTCAGCCAGTATTTTTTAAAATAATTATGTGATAGTTTTGGCTGATTTCATTCCCAAGGTATAGTGCAAATTACTTAAAACAGACACCTATTGGCAGCAGGCACACTGAGAAGAAGAGTGTGGTTCAGTGATATAACAGTAGCATCCAGAGAAGACCAACATAGATTGTTTTCTTTTGTAGTGTTACCAGTGCCAGCACTGCTGCAATGTGCGCCCTGTGCCCTGTATTTTCACAACCTCAGACAGCGGTTTGATTGTAATCCATTAGCTTTGTTGTTGACACACACGGAAACAGCAGTTTTGAGGATGCCTTATGATTACACTTGAGGAATTTGTGAATGTAGACTTGACACAGCAGAATGGAGCTTGCGTTGATTGGATGCCATTACTCTGTATTCCAATAGTTCCGGTAAAAGCTACTAGCAGGATTGGAAAGCATCCGGGTGGGAATATGTCTTATGATTTTTACAAGCATGTGGTTGAAGAAAGCCAGTCAAGATTCTGATTTGCTGCCCAAACATCCTCCAAGTCTTGCAACCAGAGCTCACTTATTAGCCTTGATGTAGGCCAACTGCAGTAGGTAGACTTTTGGGTTAAAACTCGAGACCTGTTTTGAAATTCGTCACTCAGGGTACAATCAGACGGTGAGAAAGGATTGTGTCTGATCACACCAGAAAGGGTTGTTTTGCTGGGAGCAATCTTAAAATTACTCTTCCATCCCTGCAAAAATTGCTCCAGCCCAACCCCCCAAAAAGAGTACCCTACTACAGTGGTCCCCAACCTTGGGCCTCCAGATGTTCTTGGACTTCAACTCCCAGAAATCCTGGCCAGCAAAGGTGGTGGTGAAAGCTTCTGGGAATTGTAGTCGAAGAACATCTGGAGGCCGAAGGTTGGGGACCACTGCCCTACTAGACAAAAAAGGTCCAACTAGAACAAGGAGCAGGGTCAGACTGATTCACTATCTCCTGTGCATTGTGTGATCCCAGGAAATAGCTTACACTGAACCATGTTGCAAATGGTGCAAAATGTGAGCTATTTATCTGCCTGATTGCTCCCTCAGCCATAAAACCAACTGGGCTAGTCACATGCTCAGTGTGACCTCACAGAGTTGGGAGCATAAAATAATAATCACGTTCATCCAAGCAAATTCTGACCTGTGGCAAGCCTTTTCAGGATTTCTAGGTACGGAGTACTTAAAAGTAGTTTACCATACCCTTCTGGGGTTTGTCCTGGGACTGTGCGGTTTGCCCAAGGCCAAATAGGCTGGTTCTTCTGGGATGCACAGCGGGGACTTGAACTCTCAACTTCTGGTTCCATAGCTACATATTTAACTCACTGAATTATCCAGCCAGCTTTTGAGGATATATTCCAGCAAAAAAAAAGCCCTCTGACCTGCTTTGAGCTCACTGGAGGAAAGATGAGATATAAATATAATACAGATTTTCATATCCATGGTACTGCTTGTGAAGCATTCACACATNCGTGAAGACGGGGCCATATTGGTCTCTCAGCTGCAGGAGAAAGGCCAGAGGAAGCGGAGAGAGATGGAAGCAGGCGGTTGGAAATAGGGACTTACTGGAGACCAGGGGGTCCCGGATCCCTCCTGTGCAAACACTGGTCTTTTTGAGTAATTTTATTAAAATACCGGGATGGAAATAGTATGTATCAAACACATATACTGATAGTTAGAAATACTATTCAGATTCAGAATGCCAGGACATGCCTGATATTGCTACATAATATAGTGCCCATATTGCCAGCAAGAAAAAGAATGCCAAGCTTTGCACATAGCAAAGAGCAGCCTGAATGATGACAACATCTATGTCAGGGGTTGAGATGGGGTATTCATAATACGAATATTCCTGCGCAGGTGGAGCCAGCCCCCATGGCTGGCCTGTTCACTCACATGTTTGGTGGTGGCAGCCTTGCTCATCCTTCCAATCATTCCCAGAACTCCGGTCTCTTCCTGCTTGGCTAGCAACTCAGCAGCCATGCAGGAAGAAACGGCCTCCCTCCCATTACCTGTGTCCAGGTGAGCAGAAAGAGAGCGGAGCTCCAGCAGCAATTGGAAGGATGAGCGAGGCCGCCACTGCCACCACCGCATACATGACTGGCCCCTCGTTAAGTCCAGCTGTGTGGGACATCCTCCCATTACCTGTGCCCAGGTGAGCAGAAAGGGAGTGGAGCTCCAGCAGCAATTGGCTGCCACCGCCACCACCGCACACATGACTGGCCACAGGGGCTGGCCCCTCGTTAAGTCCAGCTGCGTGGGGATATTTGTATTCATATACGAATACCCCCATCTCTAGTCAGGAGTCAAGATTGATATGAAAGAAATATACAGTAGGTCAAATCAGGATTGTATAACTTGCATGATGAACTTTATATGGTGGTGTGTGAAGAATTGTTTTCAGTCTGTACCCTCTTATGCTCACTACCATTTACCTGGCTTCAGTCAGCAGGCTTATCAGTGACTTAAGAACTCAGATAGAGGACCTTCCCTTTGATGGGGAAGGCCTATTCAGTGGCAACAACAATACCCCCAACTTAATGGAGAACATATGCAAAAAGAGAATACTGCCAAAAGAATGGGCTTCTATACACCATACCAACAGAAGCAATACCAGCAATGCAGCAAACTACCTTCCGTTTACTAATTATCAAAATTCTAATCTGACCATCAAAGATTTCCACTACCATTTACCTCATAGTACTACAGGCAGCAAGCCCAGCACCAAAAATACAACCTGCTTCATATGTCAAGACAAAGAGACCAAGCAGTGTTTTACTACTTACAGATTGAGTTCCAATGGTGTTCACATAGGACACAATTAGTCTACTAGCACCATATGTCACCACCTAACACACAGTCACCCATGACAAATGGGTCATGACCCTCATCAAACATAGCTATGTTATTGAATTTTTATTTTTCCTCTTGAGACCTACATCATCATCTTAAGTACTTCAGGAGGAGGTAACTATGTTGGTAAAAAAGGATGCCATACAACCTGGAAGTGCTTCACAATGGGTTCTACTCCCACTATTTTACAGTTCCAAAGAGGGATGGTGATCTGAGGCCAGTTCAGTACTTGAGAATTATAAATTCTTACATAAGACACCAAGAATGGTGATGCTGGAAACAATTCTACCATTCCTCACAAAAGAAGATTGGTTTCCTGTGATTGACCTGAAAGACATTTATTTTCATACTACCATCTATTTGCACCATTGCTACTTCATGGGTTTTGCATTGGGCGACCGTATCTATAAGTTCAAGGTACTCCCTTTTGGTCTTTCTATACCAGTGGTTCCCAACCTTGGGTCCTCAGATGGTCTTTGAGTACAGTGGTGCCTCACATTACGATGTTAATTCGTTCCAGCGAAATTGCTGTAGAACGAAAACATCGTAAAGCGAAATTAAAAAGCCCATGGAAACGCATTAAAACCTGATTAATGCGTTCCTATGGGCTTGAAACTCACCGTCCAGCGAAGATCCTCCATAGGGCAGCCATTTTCGCTGCCCGTGCAGCGAGGAATCCGTCCCAGAAAAGAGCAGGGAGCCATTTTTTTTTAACCCGGTAGCCATTTTGAAAATGCCGATCGGCTGTAGGAAAATCATTGTTTTGCGAGAATTGGTTCCCGAAGCAGGGAACCAATCATCACAAAGTGAAATTCCCCCATAGGAAACATCCTTTTGCGATTGCTTTTGCGATCGCAAAAACTTCGTCATAATGCGATTTCGTCATAAAACGGAGCGCTCGTCTTGTGAGGCACCACTGTACAAGTCCCAGAAATCCTGGCGAGTACAGCTGGTGGTGAAGGCTTCTGCGAGTTGTAATCCACTTCTTTAGACAAAGGAGAAAATATGAGTTCGTATATTCTAATTTTTTTAGTATTAACATGGAAGACACACTAAGAGGAACGGCTAGATGAAAAGGGTTTTATAGCATGGGATGTGCATATTTGCATTTCTAAGACATAGGAACATCCCTTACAAATACATAAAAAGTGCTGGGGTAAAACTTTCATTCTCTGGGATGGAATAAAATGGCCGAGTACTGTTTAGTTATACAAAGGTTCCAAAATAGATGGCAAGCTGGTTGTATGTGTTGCTTTCTATAAGTGCCCCATTTAAATCTTCCCATAGTGGAATCAAATTGCTATTTATAATACAGATGTTATAATGAGAACTGATTTGGTCCCTGAAGAATATGCTTAGGCAAAGAGGCATTGCCTGGTCTAAATCTAAGTCTTGAACAAAAGAATCCCAGACCTTCCAGAGTATTATCTCAAAGGCAACATGGCCAAACTCAGCTCCTTCTGTTCCAAGAGACCTAGACCAGAAACCATTAAACAGTAGCAAGTAGCCAAGAGGAAAGTATTGAATTTAGTATTGAGGATATCTGACTGAAACACACACAATTATACAATGAGGTAGATTTATTTTCAGGGGGGAAAGAACATTAAAACGTACAGAATGAAAAGAACAACAAATTGGCAGTTTGTTTGCTGGCATAAAACTGTGAGTTTTATGGCATCTTGAATACAAGTGTATTTGGCATAGACTTTTGAGAAGTAGTCCACTTCTGTAAATCTGAAGAACTTGGCTAAAGTCTATGAAAGCTTATGACATATAAAATTTGTTAGTTTTTAAGATTGCCACAAGAGTCCTTACTGCTTTTGGTGCAGCAGACAGGGAGGCATTGCTATTTCTCGTAGGTTTAAAATAAGAAAGCTAAGCTATCCTGCCAAATACAATCAGCATAAAAATAACCACTTGAGAATCAAATTTTAGTCAACTGAGGAACAAATGCATTCTATGCTATAGAAACAAGACAAGACTATTCCATGAAGTATATGGCCAAAGGCCAAAATCAGAGCATGAAGTCTGGAGCACCATAGGTTGCTCATGACTTTTCTCTGGCAGTGCTCCAATCTGGACTGCCTGTCTCTGCCTCCCCGAGCAGCTGAACACTCATTGGCTGCATGTGGAGAGTCCCCGTCCCATCTCCTTGGCAGCATGATCAGCTGTCAGAGGAGGCATGGATGGGCAGCCCGAGTTCCTGCCGGGATTGGAGCACCACCAGAGAAGGATGCTGGTGGTACACAACACAAAGTAAGTATCCCAGTCAGTCTGTGTGTGAGAGAGACTGGATGCACGGCACCTGTGGTGCCATACCAACAAATTTCATCATTGGGGATTGAATGAAATCTCATCTCTACTAATTTTTCATTCCAGTATTTCATAGCTCTCAGTTTTGTATCCACATCTCTAGAGGCAAAACTACTAGTACAATGGATCTGTCTCGGCTCTGGAGCATTCATTGATCATCATGAACTTGTCTGTTTCTGTGGTAACAGCACCACACTTGGCAGATATGTAGCTCTCCCCCATTTTAGATCACAATGTGAACACAGTTTTTATATTGTGAAAAGAGAAAGAAGCAGAACCTTCTATATTACTTTATTGTCAGATGAGCTTGACAATTTAAAATCTGCTGTCCCCACTCTTGCAGATTATTTTACTGCTTTGAAAGTATCACCACTCACTGTAAAAAATCGGTTGATAACTCATGTCTTCTGCATTTTTGCCCCATACATAGGAAGAGCCTCTTCTGTAGCTATGCACAGCAAAATAAATACAGAATTATTAGTGAATAGTTTTCTTGTATTCAGGTAATTTGTACTGAATAATTCTTTATGTTAGCACAAAGTTTTCTCCAAGGTGTATGGGTGCACAGAGTTCCATCATTGCCGCACTGCAGCAGCCCGAGTAAATATTGTATCTGTTTACTTTCGTGTTTCAGATGAAACCTCACCCCCTGCGAGCAGATGGGCGAGGCTCCCGTGCAGTGGGAATGACAATTATAGGGAACATTGGTTAAGCAGCACTGATGGAGATGTACTGCACCAGAACAAGAACAACACCCTTCAACTATGAGGCCATATAATAAATGGAACAATTATCTCATTTATTTGAAACATTTTTTTCAATCTGTATTCAAATATAATTTGCAAGCACTGCTAAATGGCCATTTCCTAGAGTTAGTTCCCATGTTTAAAGAAGCAGAATACTTATACCTTACCATACCATTTTAATGTTGAAATGTTCTACACAAGCTTCATGCATTCTGAAGTGTATGCAGAACTTCCAAGGGGAGCCAGAGATTTCTCTAGAAGACTAACACTGCATTACCCACACTATACTTATTCAACTAGTTGTTTGAGAAAGTACACAGAGGCAGAAACTAAAACTATTAGCCTTTATTAGAGCCTACTAAATGTAGGATGTCAACAGCAGAATTTTACACCTAATTTAGGTCACAAATACATTTTGGTTGAATCACTGAAGCACAACACTGAAGACTGATGGAGAGTGGTGAGAACTAATTCTAAAAAGTCTCAGTCTTTAATTTTATGCAAAACCAGTTGTTTTATGACTTGGAAATAAAACTAACAATAACAGTCTCCCTTTGAAGAGCCCCAAGTTTTGTCAAGTGGCTGCTTGAAAAGTGGCATCAAAAGGTTTCCAAAGAACAAACCTACATTTTTGTCCCTATAAATCAACACTTTTCTAATGGAAGCCTGATACAGATCTCTCCTTCTTATTCAATACATATAATTCATTAGGTTGCCACAAATAAGTTTGAATGAACTTTAACCTGAGTACAGAATTGTGAAATACAATCAACCCTGTCATATAGGACCTATACATTTTATTCACAATAGCCCTTGTTGATAATTATTTAGGGTTAATCATTTGTCATTTCAGGAAATAGATGTGATAACCATTTCTGTAAACTGGAAAAAAAACCAAAGACATTTTACACTTAAAACACACACATAAAACCACAAGGACATAACCACTGTTCTGAGCAATCAATACTGCAGCACTGAATTTGAAATGAAACAGCATTATCTCAAATATATCATAGGTTCCGATAGGAATGAATTTAGAATCTCTCAAGACTGTACTTTCAACCACTTTCTACTTGATTGATCTCTTATGATTAAAACCATTGCTGTAAAAACATAAGCAAATAAAATATAGTTCTTGCAGGAAATACAAGTTGAAATTTTTATTGGTTCAAATTCTGGTAGATACCCTACATAACAAGACCCTACTGTTACCATATTTTCATTACTGGCAACTTTCTTCAGTCTCCTAGGGTTAAGCATATGGTTTCATACAGGATTAATATATTTCACTGTCACCCAGACAGACCTTCAGAAAGGTTTCATAATATATTTACATTAGATACTGGTTTGGCCAGCTTTCTCAAAATGTAACATTACCTGTAAAATACAAGTCACAATAGCAAAAGAAAAGGATTTGCTTGCATGGAATAAATAACTTCATGTATCAAAGCGTGTCCCAACTGTACATTTATTTCTGCAAAGAAGTAATTAATATATATAAGATTCAAACTGTACAGATTCTCTGGTTTACAGTGGCTTCATTTTTAGAAATATGGTAACCTTAATTATTCTGCATTGTTATTAATTCAGAGATTACAAGTAAACAGTCTCACAGCCTGAGTTAGTTGTTTCCAGTTCTATAAAATTCAGGTTGTTTGATCATCCTGCAAAAGAACAAGCCATCTCTATGCATTGTTCACAAACAGTAAGAACCAGCTGTACACCTGTACCCCATTTCACCTTTTCCTTCCACTGTTCAGTGTTAAATAGTTGTATTTTATGTGTTTTGTTGTCCTTTTCCCTCCCCAATATTTCATTTCAGTAACTGTTGAAAGTTGGTTTAGTTTCCCTCCTATTGCATGATTTCTTGGATAAAGGGAGCCAAGGTTTTAGAGTACATCACTGAAGTGTGGTTTTCCATAGTCTGCAAGATCCATTTGAAGCTCCCTCTCTTCATCATCTGCAATCAAAAGAAGCATGTCAAAATTAAGTTCTCAGAAATGCATCGTCCAGGCACTCATACCACTGCTGTACTCTGCACTTTCTGGTACAAAATAGCGAAGAATGCATTTCCAGAATTTTATAACTGATACTGTCTATTTCAATGTAAAAATAATTTAAAAGCTAAGCATATAAGTTTCAGAGCTCTAAATTCAGCAACGTTTCTGTTTACAAGTAATGCATTTTTTCTTATTGACTAGTTCTTTTTTTCTTGTCTACTTATTCTTTAATATGAACACTTTCATATAGAATATTTAATATAGAATACACAATTATCTTTTTACATTCACAAGGCTTTGTGAACCTATCAGTTATTTCTACATACACCCATTTACATTATGAGAATAGGTAAAATGTCTTTAGTTATGCTTGTTCAGTATCAGTGGGCTCCGTATCCCACCTAGAATTTTACAAAATATTAACTAGATTTAGTTGTAATCTTGCCTTAAAGAATTTACGTACTAACATCCATTTTGAATATGCTGTTGTAATACCCACCCACCCACACATACAAAAGCAGTAGGTCCAGCTAGATATTATAATGACAAACAATCTCCTCAATGAAGGAATGCTGGTTACATACTGTACAACTACAAAATAAACTGTATACTCATGGGTTACATATGAAATACCCTGTGTTCTGAAAAGTAGCTCTTTAGTTTAAACCTCAGTATCACCCAAAACTCGAAATACATTGACAAATTCAAATTAAGAACACATATATTAATTACTGTCAGGATCACATTCTCAATCGCTCTTCAGCATACACTTATTTTCTGTTCTGTCACTGCTGTCTAGGGGAAAAACTAATTTCCCCTCTGGCCCTGAACAATATCGACAGAACTCTGTTCAAAAACAACCAACAAAAAACTCTTCAGTTCATTGCAAAATGTTTTACTTTCTCCCAAACAAGGAAATTAATTGATAAAATTTCACATAACCTAACAGGTTAGAACACCAATGTCAAGAACGAGACTTTAGAAAACAATGAAATACTACATTGGAAAGAGATAACAGAAGTGTGCATGTCATCTCACAGAAGTACTTCTGGAAATGATCTGCTGTGATAAATGAGAGTTGAGAACAGAATCCAAAAAGACCTTCAAGAATAATCATTTTTTTAAGGGTGGGGAAAAGAGAGAAGTGATTTATTCGACATGGACATAACATCAGTTTTAGCCCTGTTACCAATATAGCCCTTGTTCAGTTATTTCTTGTTCACATTACCACTGTGCATAGGCAAGTAAAACAAAAACACTGTAAAAATGAGAAACACAAATATTGGATGGGGGACAGCTGGCTCAGCAGTAGTATTTGTGAAGAGGAACTAGGTTTCTTAGTAGACCACAAGCTAAACATGAGGCACCAGTATGATGTGGCAGAAAAAAAGCTGATGCTATACTAGGCTGCATCAATAGAAGTATAGGGTCCAGATCAAACAAAGTACTAGTACCCCTTTTCCCTCCTTTGATAAGACCTCACCTGGAATACTGTGCCCAGTTCCAGGCACCACAGTGAAAGAAGGATATTGAGAAGCTAGAAGGTATCCAGAGGAGAGTGACCAGGATGATGAAAGGTCTGGAAACCATGGCCCATGAAGAACAGTTGAAGGAACTGAGCATGTTAATGCTAGAGAAGAAAGTACTTAAGAGGTGACATGATAGCCATGTTCAAATATTTAACAGCTATCATGTGGAAGATGAAGCAAGCTTGTTTTTTTTTTCCAACTCCAAAGGATAGGACTCAAAACTAATGGATCCAAATGACTAAAGAAGGGATTTTGACCAAACATTAGGAGGAACTTCCTGCTACTAACAGCTGTTCAACAGTGAAAATGACTGTCTTGTGATATGCTGGATTCTCCTTCATTGGAGAATTTTAAGCAGATATTGCATGGCCACTTCTCAGGGACCACCACCCAACCTCTGGTGCATTTCCTGTTTCTGCAATCTCTACAATCCAATGTTTTTAACAAAAACACCTGTATTCATAATAAAATGTAGATACTAGTAACCACCCACTGTTATTAATCCCAGAAAAGTTCACCATGTTTGCAGCAAGAAAGAAAAGACCTTTTTTACCACATCACATGCAAGGCTGTCATACTCTTAACATTTTTCTATTACGAATGCAAAACTACTGAAAAAACAAAAAATATTTTCAGGCAGATTGCTTCAAGCCCAAGCTGCCATCAAAAATAGCAGTCTTGTCAAAATTCAGCTGTCCCTTCACAGCACAGTATTTCCAAACAGCTAAGGAGTGGCACTGTACAAATAGATTCAACGTGGTGCTCAAATGGGATGGAGACAAGGCCCAAGCTCACCTTGGACGTCTTCTTCACCACCATCACCATCCTCTTCCTCATTGTAGGCCAGCTCAGCCTGCTTGTCTGCCTCATACTCACCCACGTTACCATCATCCCCATTATAATCTGCCAGTTTAGACCCATGCTGCGGATCAACAGGGGATTCATTTTCATCAAAGAATCGGCCTGTGAAGTATGCAAAGGATGTAGAGTCAGAAGCAAGGAGGAAAGGAGGGGCAGGGGAAAAAGACAGTGGACAGGACGGAAATGGCGAAGAAAGCTAAATGGAGAAGTTTTTGGTTTCAAATAATTGTTGCAGTTTTACGTATGTATAAAATGAATATTCACTACTATATATGGAACTGCTTACACTCTGTTAGATATACTGTATAAAAAATCTAAATTTTCCAGCCTTTGGTTTTGCCCGTTAGCTCCCTAAAAGGAGATACTGAAGAAATTTCACATGTGAGCCTAACAGTTTTTAAACTTTATTAATTTAGTAAACCTGACTTTATGAATTTAGCACTTCATCTAAAGTTCCTGAATACTTATGTTGAAAGTATCTTGGAGTGATCGAACACCTAAAAACTGCTCTCTCAAGCACACCCGTATTTCTGTTTATCAACTGTTACCCAAAGATTCTGGTTGCATGGGGAAGATTTTAATTTTGTTGTTCTCTTTAAAATACATTTCCCTTGTGTGACATACATAAATGTTAGAAAATTAAAAATCTGAAAAAAGTAGTACCACATAGCAAAGGTGTAGTTCAATTAAACTGAATAGCAAGTGTGTATGTAACATGCTGTCACACATAATTAAAACAATAGGATCCACTACCACATCAGAATAACAAATGAACAGTCAATGCAGAGTAGGAATTTAATGGAACATGCCAAAAGATCATCTAGGAAGCAGTTTGAAAAGGAAGCTAGTGAGATTTCCCGAAGAAGGGAGCTTGCAAAGTTTAAGTTTCCCAAAAACAGTTTTAAAAACTGAATGAACTAAAGAATGGATTTCCTCTCCATCTCTTCCTTTCAGACAAACACACACATACTCTCTAGAAAACATGAGCTATAACAGATATTTTACAATAAAGTTTACAGCAAAGTACAGTCATCGATCAAATCTGAAAGTGGTAAATAAAAGATTTCTACTATTATTCCCAAGAGTACTTGGGCTATACTTTGGGCTATACTTTGACAAATCATTTGCACTGTGTCACAGTTGAGGTAAAATGCAACTTAGAATTTTAGCTGTCCTCAAAGGAAAATAATTTACAACTGTTCTGCAGTGCCTGCCCAATACTGCAACTCTAGAAAATGAAAAATCACAACACAAGTTTGCTTCTTAATCCAGAGCTTATCTTTACAGCGCTAAAATGATGTTGAGAGTTCTTTACAGATTAAGCAACTTAAATTAAAAGCGAATGTCCAAAGACTGCACAAACAGATTACAAAGTTAGACATGATAGAGTGGCAAAGTTAGTACACTGGTCATTATGCAAAAAATATAACTTGCCGGCCTCCAAAAACCCATGGGAACATCAGATAGAGAAGGTCTCAGAAAATGAGGAAGTCAAGATTTTGTAGGATTTCCAGATCCAAACGGATAGATACCTTGAACGTAACACACCAGACATAGTAGTAATAGAAGGAAGGATCATTGATATTGCAATTCTAGGGGATGCCAAAGTGGAAAATAAAGATTTGGAAAAACTAATAAAATACAGAGACCTGGCAGTCAAAACATCTTGCTTGTGGACGAAACACATTTGCTTCAGTGGTCCCTGTAGTCACTGGGGCTTTGTGAACAATATCAAGGAACTTGACACAGTATTATAAACAGTTGCAGATCTCATAAATAACACCATCAGAGCTACAAAAATGGCAATATTAGGAACAGCATACATACTGCACTGATATTTAACCAATACTTAGGTTTTTGGTTAAAACTTGTATCTGTTCTAAAACACCAGTCAATGTTTTTATAATTTTGATTGACTGTGCATGGCATTTTTGAATCATCATCATAATCTGGCCTAAATATAACTTTGTCTGGATACCTGCAAAGGTACAGCAGGCCAGTCTTAATGGCACAAATGTCTCCTGCCCTATGTGCTGAAGTATTAGCCACCAGGAGGGCTGTTTTTGCCAGTAAAAAACTCCAAAGATGGGTCAATGTACAAAGAAAGGTTTCATAAGTTGAGCCAAGGCAAAGAGGATAATAGTAGTAGAGACAGAGCAGTAATACATATTCTACCTATCTTAAAAACATTTTAATCTTTGAAATTATGAATAAGGATGTGCACATTTTATCAGTTGGCACCAAACAGCGTGATAAAATTATTTGATACACTTTTATGGATGATAAGAATAAAACCATATCCAGCAACATAAACCAGCAGATGAACAGAACATTTTGGGGATCAAAATTAAATTTTCTTGCAAAATTGCAAAAAGCTAATCATGTACAGGCATAACAACTGAGAGCAAATGCCTTCCTTACATTCTGTGTTATGTCAGTTATCTTGTTGGATTTTCCACACCCTGAGGCTTAACAGTATCCACATTAGGATGAAGGATGAGCCATCATTCAACTAAAGGGGAAGACAGTAGAAGGCCTGCTGGCTGTGCTGCAACAGGGAACTAAGACTGACATGGCCATCACAAAATTACCACAATGTTAATGTTGCCATTCTTTGTAAATTACTTTTATAAGTAATGAGAAATGTGAAAAACAATAGTCTCTTCCCCAAGCTATCTTCCACTCAGTTCTGCATCAAGCATAATTTGCTGTAATACAGCTGCCCGGAAGAGAACATGTTAATATGTGGCTGACCACACATTCAAAACAGTGTCTCAAGCCTCAACTTGTTGGAGCCTTAACTTGTGAATGTCTCTGTATATTCTAATCAGCAGGTTTGCAAGGGGATTTATCTTCCCTGGAATGTGCACCACTATGAGAAAGATGTCGTGGTAAATGCAGTAATTCCAGAAAAACAGTGAGAAATCCACGAGTTCCCTGGGATTTATGCCACTTTGCTTATTTCTGTAACATGTTGTGGTGGAACTAGCAGTGACGATCTGGACAATGATGTTAATAAACAATTGACAGAAAGCTTTGCAAGTTCTGAAAAGACTGATACGACATTGAGCCTCCTGGCCATCCCATAGCCATGCATGTGATACTGGAGGCAATAATATTCCCATCCCACATAGGAGGCACAGACTGTCACCATGATTTTTTTCTTGTTTCATCATAAAGTCGTGTCCGACTCTTCGTGACCCCATGGACGACAGCACACCAGGCCCTCCTGTCTTCCACTGCCTCCCGGAGTTTGGTCAAATTCATGTTCGTAGCTTCAATGAGACTGTCCAGCCATCTCATCCTCTGTCGTCCCCTTCTCCTCTTGCCTTCACACTTTCCCAACATCAGGGTCTTTTCCAAGGAGTCTTCTCTTCTCATGAGATGCCCAAAGTACTGGAGCCTCAGCTTCAGGATCTGTCCTTCCAGTGAACACTCAGAGATGATTTCCTTCAGAATAGATCTGTTTGTCCTCCTTGCAGTCCAGGGGGCTCCTCCAGCACCACAATTCAAAAGCACCAATTCTTCGGCTGTCAGCTTTCTTTATAGTCCAGCTCTCACTTCCATACATCGCTACTGGAAAAATCATAGCTTTGACTATACAAACCTTTGTCGGCAAGGTGATGTCTCTGCTTTTCAAGATACTGTCAAAGTTTGTCATCGTTTTCCTCCCAAGAAGCAGGCGTCTTTAAATTTTGTGTCTGCTGTCACCATCTGCACTGATCATGGAGTTGAAGAAAGTAAAATCTGTCACTGCCTCCATATCTTCCCTTTCTATTTGCCAGGAGGTGGTGGGACGACTAGTTATGATCTTGGTTTTTTTAATTTTCAGCTTAAGAACATTTTTTGCAGTTTCCTCTTTCACCCTCATTAAGAGGTTCTTTAATTTCTCCTCACTTTCTGCCATCAGAGTGGTATCATCTGCATATCTGAGGTTGTTGATATTTCTTCCGGCAGTCTTAATTCCGGCTTGGGATTCATCCAGTCCAGACTTTCGCATGATGTGTTCTGCATATACTGTACATTAAATAAACAGGGAGACAATCTACAGCCTTGTCGTACTCCTGTCCAAATTTTGAACCAGTTGTTCCATATCCAGTTCTATCAGTTGCTTCCTGTCCTACATATAAATTTCTTAGGCGATAGATAGGGTGGTTAGTCAATGCCATTTCTTTAAGAATTTGCCATAGTTTGATGTGGTCCACACAGTCAAAGGCTTTTGCATAGTCAATGAAGCAGAAGTAGATGTTTTTCTGGAACTCTCTGGCTTTCTTCATAATCCAGCGCATATTAGCAATTTGGTCTCTAGTTCCTCTGCCCCTTCGAGATCCAGCTTGTACTTCTGGGAGTTCTCGGTCCACATACTGCTGAAGCCTGCCTTGGAGGATTTTGAGCATAACCTTGCTAGCATGTGAAATGAGTGCAATTGTACAGTAGTTGGAGCATTCTTTGGCACTGCCCTTCTTTGGGATTGGGATGTAGCACCTTAACAGCGTCAAGGATAATAGTTCAACTGGAATACCATCACCTCCACTGGCCTTGTTGTTAGCCATGCTTTCTAAGACCCACTTGACTTCGCTCTCCAGGATGTCTGGCTCAAGGTCAGCAACCACACTATCTGGGTTGTCCGGGACATCCAGTTCTGGTATAATTCCTCTGTGTATTCTTGCCATCTCTTCTTGATGTTTTCTGCTTCTGTTAGGTCTCTACCATTTTTGTCCTTTATCATGTCCATCTTTGCACAAAAGTTTCCTTTAATACCTCCAATTTTCTTGAACAGATCTCTGGTTTTTCCTGTTCTATTATTTTCCTCTATTTCTTTACACTGTTCGTTTAAAGAGGCCCTCTTGTCTCTTCTTCCTATTCTTTGGAAGCCTGCATTCCATTTTCTGTAACTTTCTCTATCTTCCTTGCATTTCGTTTCCCTTCTCCTCTCTGGTATTTGCAAGGCCTTGTTGGACAGTCACTTTGCTTTCTTGCATTTCCTTTTCTTTGGGATGGTTTTTGTTGCTGCCTCCTGTTCAATGTTACGAGCCTCTATCCAAAGTTCTTCAGGCATTCTGTCCACCAAATCCAGTTCCTTAAATCTGTTCTTCACTTCC